CGAGATAAAGATGTATCGACATTGGTATTATTGCATTCTATCTGTGCACGATTTATTTATAATTGAAGATACATATGTGCCTACAATTATGAAAGTGGTCTAAGTCATAGACTTAAGAGGAACGATTTTATTATTTATTTCGTGTTGCATTTATTTATATTACGATAAAATATATTTATTTTCTACAAAACAGTGAATAATTGAATTTGTAGCTTTATCGCAATTAATTTTATAATTTATGACGTATTATGAAGGCCGAGGCTTTGAATATTTCAGAAAAATATAAGTGACTTTGACCACTTCCATAATCACGGGCACATGTCTTATCGTTGTACTCTTATAGCAAGTGATTCGCTTGTCAGGATAATAGCCATAAATTCCCAAATTTAATATGAGAATTGGTGACAAAGAGTGAAAAATTCTGTTTGACTGGGGAGATCAGAGAAAAAATGGCGCGGAATATTTAATTCGAGATAATCGTGTGTATATAGAATATATATACACGAGTATATAATTGTAATAAATTTAGTAATAGAATAATCGACACTCTTCCAGATACTCAAACAAATTATTATATCGTCTTAGTTCCTAACCTATTACAAGATGGCTGAAAATTGCAGGCTATATGATCAATACATTATGCCACAATCTATTTCCCATTTAACTCTTTGGGGCACAGTGGGATTGAAAGTCTTCAATCTTTTTGATGCACCGTAATGCATGGTGGACATGGACATTTTTGGTCGCATAGCTTTATATTTCGTCTTATTTACGTGAAGCAGTTGGTAATACCTTCAACAAATATTATAAACGTATTCGCGTGTGTTGGCAACATTCGACATGCCAGTACAGGTTCATCGATTGTTGCAAGCTGAAGGTCTATCGCGACAATCATTTTTTCCTGGTTTTATGTTTTTACATAATGATTCCTTTATTAGTAAAAATATACCAATTTTGTTTCACTTAAAACGCAATAAGACATCTATGCAACATGGGTCTGTTATTATCCGAAATCCTGTATCACAAAGAGTTAAGAGAAAATTACTACTATCTTGCATTAAAAATATCGACATCGGTTCCCAGACAACTGTTAAATATTAAAAATTTATTATCTGAAATCCTGCGCCGCAAAGAGTTAAAAGAAAATTACTACTATCTTGCGTTAAAAATATGGACATCGGTTCTCAGACAACAGTTAAATATTACCTATATGTAGGTATTCGTGAAGACTGAGCAATTCATAGAATGTTATGTACCGTTTCCTTCTTCCTTTCCTTCCTTTTTCTCTTACTTGTGTCTCTTTCAGAGAAAGACACTCGCGTCGTTTCACTACTAGCTTCCTCAGCCATAATTCTCTTTGCCTATGCAAAACGGAGTTCCAGTTACAGAGGGTTAACGCCAGAACTGGTTCCGCGAACCAACCCTTGCCGCCGTGAATACGCGGAAGGACTCCTTGCACGCTCTTTCGACGCGTGTCTTCGTACAATAGCAAGGAATCGCGTATTAACACGAATTTGGTGCGAGGTCTGGAGTTTTCCAAATCACCAGTGATTAGGATTATGATTATCACATCGGATTATACAAGAGCTTCGCGAGAGCTCAGTTTCGCCTCGAATCACATCCAAAGACAGTCGTTCGTACGTTAACAATCGTCATTATCGTCATCTCTATATACCCGTAGAAAAATTCTGCCACGTTGCGACCTTGTCGCGAATTCTAGTTTCAAAGAATTCAAAGTCCTCGACCCTGGACGTCTCTCGTCAGAGAACGAGTGGAAGCGACGAGAAAGAGGGAACGCTGATCCTTTGCTTGCGAGGATCATTTACGGAAGACACGGCCAGGTCAGAGCTCACCTAGCGTAATTATCTCGGGGACGATTCACCCTTTGACGGCGGGACGCTCGTGCGACTTTTCGTGATTTACCGTCGTCCAGTTCGTCTGTCGTTTATTCGCAATTCCGCGAACGGACCAGTTATTACCTCTATCCTGGCGCAATTAATGCGAGGCCAGGCTCTCGCTCGAGAGACGTCTTCTGGTGCGTGGTGGAAGAATTCGGCTCTCCATCGGCGGTACCGTTCGCCGTGCGTCGCGTGTACCGTAATTCTAGTCTTTGGGGTCCCGTGGCAGCCGCGGACACCAGCTCTTTCAACGCGATCAAGGCTCCACGTGTAAACCTAGCTTTTCGCGTATTACCTCGAACCGAGTCGCGTGTGAAACCTCTGGCGGTACCGAAGGAATAACAGGGAGCACGTACGTAGGTTCGCGGTGCATCGGAGCGAGGAAGCTTGTGCCGTTTGGCCGGGAGAAATTCGAAATTGCAGATGCAATTTGGCCGGGAAATCCGTGACGGTAACTCTAACCCCCTGTTGGAGTGTCGGACCTCCGTCAGAGGAAACCAGAAACGCGTAGGGAAAGAAAGGAGCTTTGGTTTTCGTATCCCGTTTGGGAGGCCCGTCGAATGGGCTCCGGCCTTCGTTCGTGAGAGGCCGGACGCGGAGAGAGAACAGAGAGGGAAGGATGGAGGGACCGGGGCATGGAAACGGAGAAAGAAACACACACGGGGTGGCGGCGAGACAGAGAGCCTAGAGAGAAAGAGAGAGAGAGGAGCGGGAAAGAGAGCGAGGAAGAGAGACGAAGGAAAGGGCCCCCCGCGCCTCACAATGCAGCCTGATTTATGGCCCGGGCGCACATACATAGAGTTACACACGATATCATAATACCATTAATTCTTCGTCAAATTCCCCGCTGACTGAATCATACTGGCCACGCAGTAAATCACGCGGGGCGACTAATGTGAACGCGACCAGCGCTCGCTGTCTTATCTCCTTTGAACCACGGGGGCAGGTGGATCCAGCCTCTTGGACTCCGCTGAATTACTCTTGTCCTGGCCTCGACCGGGCCCCCTCCGTGGCTCTCGGCTCTTTCTTTACCCTTGCAACGGCTCCCAACCCCCTTGGCGGCCCATCCGTGCCCAGCCGACGCACTCTATTTGTCTCCTCTCGTTTCCGTATTTTTATAGCCCGCGCCGCTTATCCGTCGTACAATCTGCCGCCCGATTTCGCAAACCACTGCCACCGATGTGTGTCGGCAGCCACTTGCCGGCGCGTTTACGTAATCGCCGTTTCGCACAGGCCCCTTGCAGAGGTAGATGCCTCCTCGCGAGGTGACAATTGGCCGTGAGAGAGTGGACATTCGCGACGGTACTCGGCTACTTTCCTTTCTGTTCACGCGTAGTTTCTTCGATAGTCTGCTGGTGTTTTGCGTATTTCCGGAGATGGTCGAGGGAGTTGACGAATCGTGGGGCTACCAGGGTGCCCGTGGCCGTCGCGAGTCGACTTTCCTGATCTTTTATAAGAAGGGTCTCATTCGCCCTTAGCTGAGAGGAAAACACCTCGTTCCTTCTGCTGAGAATCTTGTCGTCGACATAGTCCAGCTAGACTGTCTCTCATTTATAATCCCAGTAGGCAGAATTTTCCCGCGAATCCCAAATCCTCGATAGCTTATCGACAGACCAGGCACCACCAGTTCCTCGCATCGAGTATCGAAGTTTGACGCGATCCAGCCGATAGAAAGTAAGGAATAGCTACTCGTTAATGGTAGCCCCTCTCGTCAACGTTTACCGCGTTTCTCGTTTATTATCCCCCTTATCGATATCCAACTTAATCCCCATCGTCTATCCGTCTCGGTCTAACCTCAACCTGTTCCTCGGCTTTCCTTGGCTTCTACTTATTCCGCCTTCGCTCCTGACACGATAGTCGAGCAATTTTCACCTATTTTCGAACAGCCGGAGCTGTCCTATCGATTATTTCGCGCTATTCTTGCTCGTCCTTACGCGTCCGCGATTCCGCGATAACGCGAAACGTTTAGAGACTGCACCCTGCGCTCGCGAATTGCCCCAAATTGCCCCCCGATAAATTCTTTCGCCGGGGCAACTCGTTCTCCGCGAGCAACACGCACCTCGAGTCGTCGGAACGATTCCAGCGACCAACCGATTATCGAGCACGAAGAAGAGGGATTAAATGGCGACGAGGGTGAAAGAAATAGTTAAAAATCCGTCGGGGAACGATTCCTCTTCGTCGTTTTCCCGTCTGCAACATCGAGTAACGCGATATAGGAACGAGAACCGCTATCACCGACGAGTATCGAAATTTATAATCGCCCGGCTGATATATTTCAGCCGTGATTTAACGGCGGTTTAAGGTGGCGGCCGTCGTGAAATAATCACGCGGCGGGGCCCGCGAACCCGCATTCCTGTTATGACACACTGGCACAAATTTCCGCCGAGCCGATCTACAAATCACCGGCTCCTTACTTTTACTCAGCCGCGAGGTTTCCATCGCGCGTTTCCATTATGACTTATCGCCGATGGGGCCCGGGCCGACGCGCGATTTACGGCCCACCCGAGTCCCCGTTTTCGCGCGGTTCCTCCGCGTCTCTTTCCCCTGTCCACTGCGGTCGCCTATGACCTCGCGTTTTTGGGAAACTCGAGAAGCCGAGGACGCTTCGAAATTCGAACTTTCTTCCGGCGTTTGCGGCCCGGGGAACACGTGTTCGCGACGTTGGCGGCGAAAATTCGAGGACCATAGAGAGGTCCCGGGGAGACGCTCGGAGATGACCCCGAGATGATTCGCGATAGCGTGGTTTTATTTGAGTCGGTAACGCGCGAGCAACGGGATCGTGCTTCGAGTGGGATCGAGACTGGGCTATCTAGGAGAACCTGAATAGAGGGAAGCGGGACTGGTTGGAGTTTCTTTGTGATACTCGGACGGTCTGTTTTGCAATAATTTCCTAACGACTCGAGGAGCACCGGTGTGCGTGCCTTCCAGTCGGACAACCCGCTCTCTTTGGGACCAATTCTCGCGGCAATTTGGCCCAGCTCGCCTACCGACCATGGGCGAACCCGCAATTAAACGCGAGCGAGGCGATCGGGCGGCGAAGAAGAAGAAGAAGAAGAAGAAGAAGAAGAAGAAGAAGAAGAGGAAAAAGAAAAAGGGACTTACTCTGTCCGATGTGCACCCTCTTCATCCACGAGTAGATCTTCGGCGGTTCGTTGCCGGTGGGGTTGGTCTTGTTCGACGTGTTGTTGCCGGTGCTGGAGGTGCTGGAGGTGGAGGATGCAGGCGAGGAGGCGGATGACGCGGTGGTCAACGTGGAGCTTCCCTCTGCCACGGGTCTGGAACTTCCGCTGGCTGGAGAGGCAGCGGATGCTGCGACCGACGACCTCGACGAGCTTCCTGGCGGCGAGGTGAGACCGGACGCGGCCTTGCTGGTGCCTGGTGCCACCAGAGGGGTCGGACTGTTCCTCGAGGTGGACGTGGTCAGATCCTGAGGCGACGCGACGCTGGTGGAGGACGTCGAGTCGGCGTACTTGCAGCTCGAGGTGGACGGTGCGGATGGCGCGGACGCGGCTTGGAGAAGCGGCGTCGTCGGGTCCTGATGGAGCTGCTGCTGAGGATGATGCTGCTGCGGATGGTGCTGCGACTGCTGGTGCATACTATGCTGCTGCGAGGTGGTGGTCGCGCTGAGTCGCGGCTGCGGCTGCAACTGCGTGTAGTCTATCATACCCGTGGGTGCCGTGTGCTGCATGCCGGACGCAGGGGTGGCGTACGGATGCTGAGGATAGTGTTGCTGAGGAGAGTAACACGGTGCCGGGTAGCTGGTCGCGGCTGCGTTCGGGTTGTAATAGTCACCACCCGCGGGCGATGCCGCCTGCATCGGTTCTCCAGGTGAATTGGCCGTGGCTCGTGGCTGCTGTTGCGCCTGCTGGCCCGCGTAGCACGATGCCAACGAATTGACGAACTGATAGGAACTCATGGTTCACGCGAGTGCACCCGTCGTCAACGTCACTTTACCGATCGTTCCACACGTGCGTATGGCTCGATTTTCACGACGAACAACACCACCGTTGATCTCAGATCTGGTCTCCGCGTGGCGGCCAAGGTACGCGCACTGTCGTTAAATGGGGGATCCTGTCATCGCTGGTCGCGTTGATCGCTCACGACGACGACGACGACGACGACGACGAGGACAGGAACGAGGACGACGACGACGACGACGATGACGATGACGATGACAATGGGAAGGGTAGCATGTCACACTGCAGGGTAAAAGGAACGTGCGTAGGTTCTATCACTTGGCGGGGAAAAAATGAACCTTGCTCTCACCGTCCTCCTGTTCGTTTGCCGCGTTCACACCTATCGCGGCCCGTTACACGCGGATAAACACGTCCCTAAACGATTCGATAATGAACGAGGGGGATCGCGACGAATAGAAGGAGAGGCAGTCGTGTGCCGGCAGGCGGGCAGAGTCTAAACCGACCTGAGCCGAGTCGAGTTTACGAGGGCCACGTGGGCCTGGGCTATAAAACTGTCTTCTGCTTCTTTACGACCTCACGAGTCGCAATTACCTACAGAGAACTCGTCGAGGCAGCGTGCAGTAGCGCGTAACAGCCGGCTTATCGGGTCGCCCCATTGAAGACGAGACCCCATGCACTTCTTTATTTCTTTCTTCCTCGATGATTTATTCGCACGAATCACCGCTGTTGTCCTTGCCTCGAACAACCGTATATACACGAGATCCGCCGCGGTCGTGGCCGCGATCGCGATACCGACCACGTCGACGACGACGACGACGACAACGACGACAAGTGCGGAACCAACCGATGCAACGGAAGATTCGCGAAGAACGGATATGGAACGGAACGGAACGGAACGGAACGAAACGAAACGTTTGTACGCGATGCTGGTGTGACGGAAGAGCCGAACCGTGCTGCTGCTGTGCTGCTGCTGGATGACTCTGTCCGTGCTGGTGTGGATCGTCGGTATGCCGGTGTACCGATATCACCGCATTAGGGGGTGAAGCGTTATTGCCGCGGCTCGGCGTTCACCGTTCCTGTTGCGTGCGCGGAGGGTGGTTGGTATCGTACTGAAGGCCTCGCCACGATCCAACGGAGGCCCGGTGTGTGCGGTAGCTTGTCACGTGCCCGCGCTCTCTGCGTGTCAGAGGAGCGCCTCGACCAATCCCCGTCGTTCGTCAAACCTTGATTGGTCTCTCCGCCGGCGTAGGATTCTTCAACCCCGTTCCTTGCGTCTCCGTCGGGTCTGTGTGGTGCTGGTGCTGGTGCTGCTGCTGCTGGCGCTGCTGCTGCTGCTTGCTCGTGTGGTGGTGTTGCCTGGCTGCTACCCGACGTGACAAGAGCCGTCGAGAGGGGTGTGCGAGCAAGACAGGAAATCCGAGGGGTCACAGAGAGGGGATAGCACCGTCAGGGGGGCTAATGGAGAGATATTCGGGAGCCCCGAGGACCGATGGTGGGGCGAGGATCTCTCTGCGTTTCGCTCTCCCTCTCTCTCTCTCTCTTTTTCTTTCTCTTTCTCTTTCTCTCTCCCTCGCTGTCGTTTTCTCCTCTGCAACCTTCTAGCCGCAACGTCACCGAGAAGTAGTCTTCCGCTTGCCGTCTCTGCGAGGGGGCAACGCGCGCACGCGCCCCCTTCCGCGTACACCCTCGTGCCGTGGAAAGAAGGAAGAAGAGGTGGTGGTTCCCCGCGAGAGGCTGCCGCCGCGTTCCGCTTGATCGCCGATCGCTCTTCGATCTTCCTTCGCTCTTCGTCTTCGACTCGGCGATCGCTCGTCGTTCGCCTATCGCTGCGTTTTAGCCGTAACGCGAGATCCTCATCGTCTCGTTTAACCTCTCTCTAGCTCTGCCTTCCTCTCGCGTGTCCACTCGATGAAGAATCTTCCACGTTTCTCCGATCCAGCAACCGCTGCCGCCGCCGCCGCCGCCGCCGCCGTCGGTTCTCCAGTGCCGTCTGTTCGCTGCGACGAAATCGAGCCTCGGAGTTTCCGCTCAGATCACTGGCATCGGTCCACTTGCAGCCGCGTTTCGCGGGTCCCGCGAGTCGCACGGAATCCGCGCGTCGAAGGGCGGACGAGTGGTGAGCCGCGGTCGGAAGAAGGGGCGCGCATAAGTCAGCCGGCCGGCCGCGGCTGACAGTTTTACGAGAGTTTGATAGTCTCCGGCGCGCTGTTCTCCGTTCACGGTGGCAGAGGAGCCGGAACGTGTCCGTGGGAGAAACGGGGCTGTTCTCGCTGGCGGGAAAGAGAGGGAAACACGCGCGCACTACGCACCGCACTCTTTATTGTCCCATAAATTCAAACCTGTTGCCCATAGCCGAATGAGAGGGACGGGCTGAAGAAGGAGCGACAGGGACGGAGACAGGGTGACCGGGAGAGAGTGACGGAGAGAGAGACACGGAGAAAGAGAGAGGAAAGCGTGCACGAGGTTAGGAATCCTCTCCCAATCGCGCAATCCGATTGACGCCCCCGTTATCGCACGAACGGCGAACCCGGACGCAACTCGTAACTCACTGAACCGACTGAGCCGGTCGAGAGGAGAGCCTTCGGAGTTGGCGGCTCCGAGCAAGCAGAAGCATGTGTGACGTAGTAGCCAGTTGGTCAAACGGGGGGCACCGCGGGGTGGCGACGTGCCGGTGGGGTTCCGGAGCGAAGGGGACGGCCGAGGAGGCGGAGCTCTCCTTGCTTCTCGCGGATAACTCTTCGCGCTCGACTTTACCGTTTCGCCTTTCCTTCCATATTTTCCGCGTTCCCACCGATTCTACTCTTCCCATTTCCCCTGTCTCGTTTCCTCCATCGTCCCGATCCGAGTCGTTGCTCGCCGACACTCCGTCGCGATGTACGTCGCCACGATTTCCGACTCTCTTATTATTTCTACGCTCGGGAAGAAAGGTTCACGGTAAAGCGAATATACGGAATACTATTCGCAGCCGGGGGATTTTCGGAGAGAAAAGAAAAGCGAGCGAAAATCGCGTAGTATAGCACTCGCTCGCCAGATGTGGCAAGTGCGGCCGTTCCTGTTGAATTGTCGCGCGCGCCCGCCCCCGGCCGCCCCACCCCTTCTTCCGCGTCCCCCCACCAGCGCGCCGCCGCGCCCCACCACCGCCAACCGAACTGGCTATCTCTTCCACTTTAAGTTCTCTCGCGGCTGTGTTCGTGTACGCGGCCATCCCCACCACCTCTTCGGTATTCGCCACTTCGGAGCCCGGTATTTGTCCTACACCTACCATCCTTCCTAGGCCTCTCTTTCCTCGTCGCCGCGGTGGCGTGCCCTCAACGACCGCGCGCGCGCGCGTCAACCGACTCGTTCGGAGAAAGAGAGAGAGAGAGAGAGAGAGAGAGAGAGAAAGAGAGAGGGAGACGGAGGTTGACAAGTGATCGCGGATCAGACACGGTTCATCCTCGCCGCAAAACACCGTCGAGTCGCTGGAAACGCGATCATTGCCGAGACGTTTGCGGATTCGTCATCGCGCCAGCGATGCCGCTTTGTTCTTGCGCGGCAGACTTCGGGGGCCGTTTCCGGCCTTCCGGAGGCCGCTTTCCAACGAGTTCTCGCCGCGAGAACCGGGTCGCGTTGCACCGTTCTCGATTACGATTTCTTTGCCTGATATAAACGGGTGTTAATCGGCGCCATTTTCCCGGGATACGAGATTTCATAGGTACTTCCTTCGGCTGACGCTTTTCTATTTATACCTATGATTCCTGGGATTTGTAAAGACAAAGGTCGAATTATTCTCGGAGGCATTTATTCAGAAACAGATAAACACGTCGAAAATAGTAATATTAATTTTTTTTCTTTACGTAGAAGATATTTGTTGTCGGATAGCGTAAGAGTAATAGAAAACACTAGTAGTATGCGGTAAAGAATGTGGCACCGAAAGTGTTTGTTAATATCTCGGAAAATATTAACACTGGGTTTGCGGATATTTCTTGTAAGGCAACTTAAAGAGGAATACAATCATATATTATTAATTTATAAATGAAGCTACCAGATATATATTTACATAAAATTTACAATATTCATGGGGAATATTTTTATTTAAATGTAAACGATTTCTTTAATTTTCTTCGTGAAATTCGAAACGCGTCAAATTGCCGGGCCCCGTAAACCCAGTGTTAAATGCTCAAAGTTAAAATTTTTAATTGACAGTTTAATCCTTCGCTTCTCCATTCCCCTAAATTTTATCTCATAAAATAGTCAGCCATACGACTCCATTTCAAAAAAGTTCACTCCCAAACTGCACGTATTTGAAAAAAAAATTTCTACTTATGGAACAATTAACCAAACTCAAAATATTTCGCCAATAATCACGATGTACTACCGATTTTATTCCAATAGCGCGTAACCCGAATTCGTATTTCCCGCGCGCCGCACTAGCCTCGAACGCAGGCCACGAACTACGAAACGTGCACCTCTGTCAAAATTAGGAAGGTCTGCGACGAAGCAGAGGAGCAGCGGCGAAAGTCGCGTTGATGTACGACGGTCTTGAACGGGCCGTAGACAGAGATAACGAAGTCATCACGTCAGGATGTCGATGTATTTCAGACTGACGTAATGAAAGCCAAAGGCATCAGGGGGGATCGAGTTGGAAAGAAGTCGGGCACGGTCGGAGCATTTCGGTCCGATCCGCATTGCCTCGCGGCCGCGTGTCACTCTTTTGCTGCTCGCCCGCCATCTCGCTCGCTCTCGTCGCTTCTCCGCTCGCCGTCTCTCTCTTACGTCGTTCGTCCCATTAGAAATTCTAATAAAGCCGTCTCAGGTGTAAAAAACGTATCGGGACCTCCATGAATCACGTGTCGCAAAGCAGAGCCGCCAGGACACGTGTATCTGTTGTGCCCTTCTCTCCGCGACGCGAATGTCGGACGCTTTGCGCGCCGATTTCTGCCCCCTCCGCGTTACCCCATCGGTAATGCAGCTACCCGTCCGACTGGAATGAGTCCGTGCGAGTAATTATTGTCGCTGATACCGGGTTCCAAGCAGCCGCGAATTATCGCGGATCGCGCTTCTTCTTGCTCGCAGGTAGCAATGCAATCGACCACGGCTGGTAGGCTGCAGATGAAATTACGAGTGCGAGTGCTTAAAAAGCGACGTGAAAGTATTTCAAAAATCCTCCTCCATTTTAATATATCACACGCTCACTGAATCGTGAATATTCTGAGCATTGGTTCTAGACGTAATTTGTTATCGTTTCTTTTTTGATAATTTTGGAAATTGGTGAAGACAGGTATATTTCTGTATATAAAAATGTAATGCAAATGAGGTAAAATTTTGATTCGTGTATAATTCGATTTTAGTACTATAATAATTATCGCACAGGGCGATATCGAGGCTTCCGCCATTAGTATAACGTAGGTCTATAGGTATAGCTAGATATTCATTTTTGAAGTCGATAAAAATATAGTACGTTTTGAAGAAATATAGTACACCTTCGATCACTTTGCGATCACGTGATTTCGTTAATTTCTCGATCGAATATATTTGCTTTATTTTTTGAAAAATTGTTAATGGAACTTAATTATTATTTGCAGAATCGATTGCAGTTCGCAGTAATTCGTTATGCACTTGGTGATTTTGTTACCGAATTCTGGTCTAATATATCAATTCCATTGTTTACGAGTGTTACTCGATTCCGCAAGGTCGATAATTATTTGTACGATCTTGTGTTTCAAAATTTAATTCCACCGACGGTTGTACGACACGCCGGAGACCAATGACGCAATGACTCGTGCGAGTAAGTTTAGGAAGCAGAGGTTTAATGTAGATCTTGTCGTGGTTGTGCGGCTGTCACGATGCTCATATATTAAACCCCTGCGTGGACGGTTTCATGCGTTTGCATAAATAAGGGTTGCCAGGTCGATGCTTTTCTTTTTGTTGTTTGCCACGGCCTCGTGGGCTGATGCTTCTTGTAAGCTAATAGAGACAGTTAGAATGTAACCTTTCAGACACTCCCTGCTATACATCATTGGCAGTTTATACGGGAGGTAACCTTAAAGCAAAATTGTTCGAATGATCTTTATCGAGGATATCTGGACCACGAGATTCGTATTAGATCTCGCTTCTAAAACCTTCGTGCACCCTTAACACGAGTCTCTCTCCGGTCCTATCAAACCTTACTTCTATATATTACCACGTAGACATCAAATCCCGACGAGTGTCTTTTCTTTATTTTCTTTTTTAAATTAAAATTTATTTCGCGTTAATCTTTTTCAGCATTTTCTTGATTTACGGATTTACACTTATTATTACGCGAACGTTTCTCGTTTTGCATATCATTTATCAGAGTTCGAGACTGTAAAACGGAACCTAGACTGTCAATTCGTCATTCGACGTTTAAATCAGAAAATACCACCCAGTATCTATTAGGAAAAATTTCTAAAGAATAACTCCCTGCACTTGAGAGATGAGTTCTAGTCACCGTGTCATAAATATCTGGAAGATCGATATTAATTGATATACCAAATTTAAGATAACGTAACAGTATGCGAGATATCAAAATCGAATAATTGCACGCGGTGATTATTATATGATTCCTTATTTACTGCTCAAAAAAGTATCGTCAATTTTATAGCAGAGAATCTTAGAATTTCTACTCTTCTTTAGTCAAAAAATCGTCGAGTGCAAAGGGTTAATAATCAGCGTTCAGTTTAAAACGATTCAAATTAATCTGACGTTATTAGCAACGGAAATATTCTAAGTAGCTACTTTTTTACAAGGAGAAAGCTTCTTGAAGGCCTTATAACGAGTTAATAGCCCGTAGAAAAATCTCGATGGCAGCTTGAGTCGAACGGATTCGTCTTAAATCTGGCAAAGTTTAAACAGCGGTGGGAGGAGATGGGAGTGAAAAAAAGGCCTTATAAACTCGTCTAGGAAGAGGCGGGGGCGCGAGAGGGCTGATAAATTCCGCGCGGGTTACCCGGACAGGGCGGAGATGGGAAAAAAATATATTCAATTCGAGGTTCACAGCTAAGACGCGTTGCAGAAAAACCAATACGTATCCGCGTGCCGGCCATGATGGATTGCCGGAGCTATGGGAAACTATCTGTCAAGCACAATATCGACCCTCGCCCTCTTCGTCCAACCCCTAGAAACCGAAGGTTCACTCTCGCTGCCGGCGTTCGTCCCAGGGTTGTGCTCTCTCTTTCCTCGCGATGTGGCCTCACCTATACACTGCCATGTACGAACCTTCACTCGGCCCCCCTTTTTCCTCTCTCTCCCTCTTTCTACTTCTCTCTCCCTCTCCCCACTTCTGGTCGAGAATCCGTGACCATTTCGCAAATGGCACGTCTCTCCTCCACCATAGATCCCGCTGCGTTTGCATAAGAAAAGAACGCGGAATGTATAGTTAAAGGCCGACGATCTGGCGTGCCCGAGGAATCCTCGCGATAAGGGAAAACCGCGATCACCATTAAAATGCTTTATCGATCGCCATCGACGCCTCGCGATCCACCGATAACGACCACACGACTCGCGATTCACCGGCCTCGTTTGTCCAATCGCTTTCCTGCGGTCGCTGGTAGCCCATTGACGAGGATCCAGCCTTCGCTGGCGGTCTGAATTAATTCCAGGCAAAAGTGACTTCCGTTGACGGCACGCGGCTGCGTGCCTACGTCTATGTATATGCAAATGCCTACTTGTTCGCGGCTATGTCAGAAAATTCCGCAGAGCCGTGTTTCGGAATACGTGCGCGGTGCGTGTAGTTGGCTGGTAATTTTTGTTTTTCAATTTATCTCGTCATCGTCCAGAGTGATTATCCGTCGAATGAAGAGTAGCAGCCATTTTGGAATAATTTATTCTCGGTATAAAATTAAGTATAAAAAGCTTATTCTTAGTCGACTAGTGTATCTCGCTGAAGGTACAGTTGGGAAAATTTTGCCCCGTATCGCAAGGGAGCTACCATTTTCTACGATTGTTTCTGACTCTTAATAAATAAGATTAAGTTAACCAGGAAGCATACTTATGCGATAATTATTATCTACGATTAAAAGTAAACGCTCCTCTGATGAAAGGAGTTGGCACATTTTTCATAGGACATTTTATCACGGTCGTTGGATAAATAGCAATATTTACATCGTTTAATTAACTAGTAGGAACATTTAGCGTTACTCGCGTGCATCCTTACAGTCCACTTACGCAAAAGTCATTGCAGCAATAGAAGGAGCACGTGCACGACGGTGAAAAGCAGCGAACGGTGCTTATAAATTAAGTAATTACCACCGCGAGTCCGTTGAAAACAAGTCGCAACTCGAACACAAATTCGCACAGGCCCTCCAACCGGCGATTACGTTTTCGCGGGATCTTCTCGATTATTCAAACGCGCACTTCACCTTGTTCGATGCAACTTGGACGAACACGATCTTCGAAGATTCGCAGACGATATACGTAAACTTGAGCAAAGAAAATTCCAGCCGCGAATCAAACGGAAGAGAAAATTGTTGGAAAGTACGAAGCGTAAGCAAGACGCTCGTGCACGCACGAGGAACGTTTTCGGCCATCTTGTTTCGTGTGAACGGCGCAGCTGCCCAGCGAGCCCCCACTCCGCTTCATCCCTTAACTTTTCGACTCCCCACGTTGTTGCCTCGACTCGCAACGAAGAATCGGCAAGTTCTAAACCGTCTTCCATTCGAACAATTGGTCATCAACTCTTTATCAAACCGTCGAGTCCTCTTTTATTTTATTTTCTAGAATAATTTCTGTCACAAACATGGCTCTACGAGTAATTCTCCAAATCTGTCCTTTCAATTCCCGAGTCTTTTGCGTCTCTATCGATTTCTATTCGCAGATGCGTCAATCCCGAAATCCTGTTTCAGCCATAGACGAAAGGCTTCTCAGACGAGAGGCTTCTCAGACGAGAGCTTCTCGCGCGATGCTACGTTAAACTCGCTTCCTCGTGGATGACTTTCATCCTCCGAAGCGACGAAGGAGGTGCCAAATCGTCGGTGAACCGGGCTCTTGCGGATTCTCCGTGTTCCTGAAACCACGCTCGGAAAGGCGTAACGAAAGCGGAAGCGACGCGCGGCCGAGCAGTGCCTAGTCAGCGTCATTAATCAACCGCGTATGAATTTTAGCGGGCGAGTCAAAATATTTTCGAGAGGACGTTCGAGCTGCTCTTCGTGGCGAAGGTGCAGCGCGTTGTAACGCTAACCGATCGACGAGGACCGAGCGAAATGCGGCGTGAACGACCGCGCTTTCGGGATACCTGAGCCACAGGATGCTCGACTGTTTAGCTCATTTCGTCATAAATCATAGTGGTTGCAGGGTCAGCTGGCCCGATCTTGTCCCGTGCATCATGTTCCTCGCTCACGATCCAGAGCTCGATTTTGTCGCGAGCTGCCTAGCTTATTTTAGCTAGGTGATGTGCACATACGTCTCACGGATGAATTCTCGATGATTCCTCGGTGATTCTTTGATCAGCAGCCTCGCAAAGAGTCGTTCCACGCGACGAGGTGCACGCAGGGTAGTCGTTGACTAGTTCGAACGTTGTTGAGGATTGAATTAAGTGTAACGCGGGATAATCGTAGGTATTACATTCCTCTCCATTAGAAGGAGCTCGTTGATTATGATCGTCGAGAGTGATCGGGAGAACGATATTATAAATTGCCACTAGGTAGATAATTATACCGACCAGTCTTCCACAGTCTATCAATCGATCCAAGGGGACATTATTATGTACAGCGTTACAAGCGTTCAGGATTCAGCGTGATGATCGAGCTTCGCCACCTGGCTTCCGTAATTCTGTTTCTGAAAGTAGTCGTGGCTGTCGTACATTCCGTGCTGCTGATGACGATAGTGCAGATACGCCTCGTGCAATCGATGGTGATCTTGCATGGCCGTGGTCGGCTGACAGGACGTCGCGGCCTGTCCAGTGTGCATCATCGGCGTCGTGGCGCTGGTCCCGCTAACCAAATGCCCCTCGATGGGTGATCCGCTCTGACTGGCCGGGATGGTGTCCTCCGAGGTCGTTTCTAACCCGTTGTAACCGAGCTTGCCGTCCTTCTTCGCCTTCATGCGACGGTTTTGGAACCAGATCTTGATCTGACGCTCGGTCAGGCAGAGGGCCTGAGCTATTTCGATGCGACGTCTTCGGGTAAGGTAGCGATTAAAGTGGAATTCTTTCTCGAGTTCGAGGGTCTGGAATCGGGTGTACGTCTGCCTGGTCCGCTTCTGACCAACGCTGTTCGCGTCGCCTGCAAATATGTAAATTTTGGGAGTGGCATAGAGCAGAGGAAGATTCAATTTGCTATTTAATCCCTCAAAGACCGAACAATTTTATACACCGACGATTTAGTAATCGATTTATAGTAAATCTTATCAAATACGAATTAAAATAAGACGACGAAGGAAATTTTGCATAGAATCGTCGAGTTCTGAAGCTAATTCTCTGAAAATTTCTACGCTTCAGTGGGAGCAAATGCTATTAATTCCCACGCAAAATAGCGTCTACGTTCGTCTGCCGTGTTTAAGTATCCTTGCTAAATTACACGAAAATTTTTTGTTACGAACCGTTAGAGTAAGATGACTTCATCCACGGGTAGTCCACCTGCTGCTGAGCCTGCTCGTCAGCGAACTCGTTAGCCTCGTTGGGGCTCTGCTTCCCGTTATTATTATTATTCGCGTAACTACCGTAGCCCTGTTGCACGCCGTAGTTGGTGGGTGAGTTAGGTGTCATCATCGTGGGTGTCACGCAGCTACTAGAATGCGGCTGCGTAGGATAGGCCTGATAGCCCTGCAAGTACCCATTTCGGGTCTCCTGCGCTCGTTCCGGCGTATCCGACAGGAATCCAGCGATCGGTGACGTCCTGTCAGTCGAGGACGTAGGTGTGTACGGCGGAGTCTGACAGGAAATATGCGGAATACTCGGAGCACTCGGCGGTGTGACCGGTTTTCCAGCAGCACTCGCGTAACCTTGGCTAATCGCTTCTTTTCCATGCCGCAGCAGAGTCTCCAGCAGGCTGGAAGGGGGTGAGTGATCCTGGCTAGGCCTCTGACTGTAACCCGAGCTGGAGTGTAGCTGCTGATGGCCGGTTTGATACGCACTATCTGGATATATACCCTGTTCGTTGGCTCGATCGCCGATGGATGACTGATAAGGCCAGTAGTCCGCCTCGCTGCTGGCGAAATACGCGGAGCTGGTCATGGCTGCGGTCTGATCGGTACTCGAAGACACGATGCAGCGATTACTCGCGTGATTGATATTCCAACAACACCGACTCGAACACTCGCGATGGGACACGTCTCATGAGGACCTTAACTCGTCGGGAGGTCACGTGATGTATTCCACTACACTGCACCAACTTCGCTAAACGCTTCCACCGGAGACGTTGAATTTCTGTCGTGGCAATAAGTAACCCGGCGAGGAAGAACGAACAGACTTCCCTGCCGTGCTTACGGCAGCATTCGAAACAGCTTTTCCAGGGGAGACGACGGCACACAGAGGTCCTCGCCAGGCCGACTTCCAATGAAATGAAACGATTCCTGTCCCCGTGACGATTTCGACCGTCCACGGTACACGGGGGGTTCCACGCGTGCCAAAAAGGGGCACCCCGGCAAACTTTCACCGGTTTATTACCGTACCACGCGGACACAGGCGTACCCAGCGGAGGTGGAGGGGACAGAGAAGCCCAGCTACCCTCGTGCCACAGGGCTGAGCATAGCGCCTCCCGTGGAACCTCGGCTACCGCAGGGGAGCTCTCTCTCGCCTCTATCAGCTGCCCTTTGATTCAGAGTTAAGGCCACCCCCGACACACGCACCCGCTTTCCGATCTGTGCCGCAATCCCCTCCCACTATTAACGCTATTCACACAAAACCCATATTGGCTCCCCTTGCGCCCGACCTCGCACAATGTCTCTGCCATGTGTGCGACCCCCTCGGCTTGCCTGCACCCCGTCGGCCTATCGCAGACCAACCCCACGGACTGGATACCGCCTCGCGAGACACGCTGATAAAATTGGATAAATTGATAAGTGGCTTTTAACGACGCCTCTGAGGGTCAAGGGGCAATTTTATTTCGAGCAAAAGGTTCTTCAGCTCGCGCGGAAAAGTAAATAAGTTTCGTCGGAAATTTTTACAGGTTTGGGAAATTATTTATTTCTCAGTTGGTGGAATACCAAGCCCTTGTACTACGATTTCATTATGAAAAATTACACATTGAAGAGGGATTTGGCACGAAGATCTCGTGACGAGTTAGACTCGTTGTAGCGCAGAGGGTTCATTTTGGGGGGAATATTTTTGAATATTTTTTATTAAAGAGAATTTACCAGGAAGGGCTAAAATCCATATATTTCTATCTGAGAAAAGTCTTTAAATTATGGATATGCAGGATCGTATTTCTATTCTTAGGTGCCCTAACTGTAGCGTAATTACGGGGTCCCGAAATAATAGGTATATTTCAATTAACAAAATCCGTCCATTTCCCATAATAATTTATTTCAGTAAAATAATACATTTTAATATTCTGCATTCTAAATATTTAATTTATCGTAATTATATACAAATAATTATTATCTTCTATCTCGCATATAATTAGCTTAAAAATAAGTATTTCTTGCCGCAACCATATGCAGGAATTTTTTACATCATTCTCCACGTATGCTCGCCCTAAAGAACCTCATGCATAAAATCTGTCTCTGTTAATACAGAATTATATCCATATGAAGCGTTTCGAAAACGAGATTCTCCATGAAGAACCAGCCATGAAAAATTCCCGATGATCGAGGGGGGCCGCGAAGGGCTGGAAAATTTTTGAGGGGTGCGACTGTTTTACGATGTTTCTAACGAAAGAAAGGAGGAGGCTGAAATAGATATTTCGAGCTGGTAAACAAAGAGCGAACTGCGAAGCTAGACGCAGGCAGTCTTGCGAGTGACGTCTCTTTCTAGAAGCCTGACCAGCGACGATTAATCAACCCTGCTGAAACTCTTTCCTGCTATATACACGTGCATTTAGCACGTCTCTTCTGCCCCCGTTCACCTTCTGTATTTTCATTAATCCCACTTTCGTCCCGGCGCATTTGCGAGGAGGGGAAGCGAGCGGAGGAAAGGCCGAGGAAAGCTGAAGAATTATGAAAGTAGGCTCGGCTACTTCCAGAGACATCCATTTAGCTCATCACCGACCGAATCGAAACCTCTTTCTTTTCCACCTTTCCTACGGACCCCTTCGTCCTTTCCTTTCCCCCCGAACGCAGCGTCCAAAGATAAATCGTCAGTTTACGTTAATCCAATCCATCCTTCAGCGTTCATTAACGCGCTACCATATTCAGCCCTGTCGACAGGTTTCGTTGGTATCTCGTTTCGCTCGTGAACTGTTAATAAACCGATTAACCGTGCACGAGATATCTCGTGAGCCCTGGAAACGATTCGAGCACCTAGCTCCGAAGCCAGGATTAAGTGAGACACAATCCCGAGGCCTAATGATCAGCTTCGCCTAAAGGGCCCGGCTTCGAAACAATTATCGTCCACGGAAGATAATAGACGGCCATGCGAACAAACTATAAATAGTAAAGTAACCCCGAAAAAACGTGATTGATGATGGCTTCGACGCGGTGACCAAACCTACGGGGACCCCGGCTGATCAGGATGGACACGCGTCCATTCCGCTTGCACAGACGCGTTTTCACGCACACTGTCACGCAAACGATGCTGGGAGAACAGCATTGGATGCTGGCTCGCGTGCTTGCCAGAGGAACGGCCACGATGATAATAAATAATAATCCGCAAAGGGCGATACTTGTGGGAAGGGACGAGGGTCCAGAGCGGTCCGCGAGCCGTAAATGATTTTACCTACTGACTTAATTTCCCTCGATCGCGGCAACCTCTGCCATCGTTGGGTTCGTTGGTAATGAAAGCTCGGGGGATGGCTCCAGGGAGATGCTGGATATGGAGAAAGACGATGAGTTCTCTGAGGGATGACGATGAGCCTGGCTACCCCTGCTTGGGATATACGAATGTTGGATTTTAGAGTTTTTAGACGTGTCTTTGGTACTCGGTGATCGATTTTTCAGTGACACGATGATGACTATTCGTGAGTAACTGATATCGAGATTATCGAAGATATTTAATTCGTAAAATTGTCAGTATTTATGCTAATAATGTAAATCGATGCATCATATAGCGTATTTAAATACAGGTGACATACTAGAAATAGGATTATGTTCAAGAATGACTTTTAGAGAAAGTAATTATATGATACAAAAATATTTATTTATTTCAATTATTATTTAGGGCACACATCAAAAAGTTATCTAGTTATAAGTGTACCATAAGTTGAATAATAATTAAAATTGAAAGTTGCTTATGAGATGACAATCTACAACTAAAAATTACCATTAAACAAACGAAAAAATAGAAGAAAATTCTTAAATAAAAAGAAATGTGAAAGACAAAATGTTAAAAAATTTTTTTTATGCATATCAGAAGAAAAGTCGAGGAAACAAGTGATCAGAGCGATAATATAGAAGCGGGAATTTTTAATAAAAATTTTGAAATTGTTAATTAAGACACGATAGGTTCAGTGTTAATTATATATTTTTTGCTTTTTGAGATACATACAGTATTATAATTAAAAGTAGGATAAGACTACAAAAATTACTATGAATGTTATACTTTGTTTCTTAACTTCCTTCAATAAGCGAACGAATATTGCACGTTATATAAAACCATAAACCGTGTTATATGACTACCTGCAACTTGTAAATCACGTTACACAAAGGATACTTGTACTACCCCTGGCAAAAAGTTTTTGACCAAACTCGATAATACTTATTTCCCCGTTACTTTCTCCTCGATAATAAACCTCGGTCTAAATTATTTTCTTCTTGTCTCTACTTCCTATCAAATAAGTTTAACATCTCGTTTTATCCCCATTATGTAGCATTTTATATATAAAAACTTACAGTAATTTAATCGAATTTGTCCAGAAATACTTGTCCAAGGGTAGTAGTCGGGGAATATTCGAATATTAAATATTAAAAAGAGTATTAAAAATATAACAAAAATTCCCATATTACTATAGAATCGTATAATTTAAAATTAATAAAATTCCCCTGTAATCTCTCTTCGCGTGTATTTTGGCAAGCAACATTTTCGGACCCAAACAGAAAACGCGTTAAACAGTCCAAAAACCCAACTGACCGACACTGAAACGTGGCGCAGGAATCGGCCATTGGTTGACCCCCTTAACCCGAAGTCGAAGGAAGACGTGGAAACTCGAGGAGCCATCCCGAGGCGTGTAACTCGTGCACAAAGAGGAGCAAAAGCGAGCGACCTCGCGTCGCGACGGCTCGACTGCGGAACGGATTTCCGGAAAAAAGTGCGGAGGGTAGCGGCGAGTGAAAGTTTTATTGCTCATTGTCGCGGGGCGGGGGAATTTTTCGAAGCCGTTCGGGGCGTCCGTCTCGGGCCCACGGCGCGGCCCTCGGGTATACCTGGCGATCACAAAAACGCGGCGAACAGCTGGCAATAATTCTGTTTATGGTGTTACACGGTCCGGGCGACACTGTCGACGTAAAAATGAAGCCGTGGCCGCCAGCAGCGGCCTCTTGGTCCGCGACACGAGGTGGGGATAACGCGTGGGGAGGCGCGTGTCTTCGAGCTGCTCGGTTGTTAAGGGACGCTGCTATTTATGAAGCGGACTCATAAAATATAAAGACGGCGCACTTTGGCTGCGATACGTCATCCCAGGTGTCGTTCAGGTAGTTTGCTTAATGCTATGTCTGGTCTGGTCCCGCTGTAAATAAGAACCTGCGCGTTTTTTCCACTCCTCCCCCTCCTGTCCTTTCCACCACCGAGTCGCCTGACCGTGCACGGAAAGACGCCGAGGTCTATCTGCGATTTCACCGTGTAATTAAGATTTCCGATCGCGTACCGTGCGCCCTGTCCCGCGCGACCATAATTGCGCCTGGCCTGCTGCGTCCAGGTACTAATTACACGTAGGAAAGTCGATATACCCGTCGATACCCGATAATTCAGGATTCTTCGTTTTACTCCCGAGTGTTCCCGCGCACGCGTGTTCGTTATTACGCAGTCTTTGCTCGGAGTGATCTGTCGTTGGAGTTCAAGGATGATCGGAGCCTCGATTAAAATCTACTTGCACGGTGTAAGCATCGGGGTGGAAATTGGAAATACAGGGAAGAACTGGTGGA